ATAATTTCCTGACCTGTTTTAGCTGAAACAGAAAGATGGGGTTTATTTTAAAACTTTTAAAACTTTTTTAATCGTCCCCGTGTGTTTTTTTATATTTTGACTGCACCCGAAAAAATCCGAAACATATGTTGTGCTGTGTTAAACGATAGAAAATAAAAACATGTCCGAATAAACCAAGGAATTTTTTATTTATATAAGATATCTTATGTCTTTCTTCCTCAGCAGACGTCAACGCATGACAAATCTTTGACACGTTATTTGAAGTTAATGACTAAATGCATGCATTTTAGTTCGCTTTTCTCAGTTTAACGAGTTTAAATTTGGTGTGGGTCTATTCTGTATAAATTTGATTAAAATTAACCCTGGGTTATAACAATAACCTGTTATTATTTTTAATTTTGTATTCTGTATTATTTGGTTAAAATTATATCTTATGTCAGTTAAAAAATGTAGTAATTATTACATGTCAAATAATTTATTTTTCTTATTTTTAATGCTTAATTTCAATTCTCTTTTTGGTATATTACATGGCTTTCATGTTTATTTTATCTGGGATTTTTTATAAAATAGTTAACACAAAATTAAATGGATAAAATATCGAATAGAGATTTGGGTTAAATTTTAAACGTCATAGTTATAAATAACTTTTAAACCTAGCGGTAAAAATTAACTAAAATGTTACAGAATGCGTTATTTTAGTTGTTTTGGTCATTTGTGATTGTGTTATAGTTTTTACTTTCCTAACTGTATACAGATAAGGAAAGTATAGGAATCATGATTTTTTTCGACATCAAGTTTTCGACAGAAGGATTTTTACGTTTTGGGATCCCCTGAATCCGTTTTGACTATTTTCGCAATGACGTCTGTGTGTGTGTGTGTGTGTGCGTGTGTGTGCGCGCGCGTGCGTGCATGTGTGTGTGTGTGCGCGCGCGTGCGTGCATGTGTGTGTGTGCGCGTGTGTGTATCCACGATAACTCATGAACGGATACAAAGAAAAACACAAAATTTTAAACTTAAGCTCTATTCCTGCTTGAGGTGAAACAGATTAGATTTTGGGCAGAGTCGGAACATCTGGGGGTACTTTATAAAAGGTGATTTTTATATTTTTTATGATAGATCGGTTATTTACGTTTGGAGAAGAAAATTCTTTATATAAAAGTTACTTTTTATATTATTCTCTATAATTTTTGTGCTGTACAAAATTTTCCTAAAATGGTCCGCATTCGATAAATTTGACAAAATGTCAAAAACTCAAAGTTTTATAAAAATTGTTTATATAAGATTTATTTGTGATATAATTCTCTATAATTTTTATCTCATACATAATTTCTCTAAAATAAACCGTATTCGAGATATTTGAGAAAAAATGTAAATTTAGAATTTAAAAGAAAACTCAAAAACGGATGAAGAAAAACACTTAATTTTAAACATGCTTTACTCCGACCTAAGGTGAACTGATTAGATTTTGGGCAGTGTCGGAACATCTGGGGGTATTTTTTATAGAACTCAGCGGTTGAGTGCCAACTGAGCGCCTCTCCGGGTAATGGATAGGAGAACGGCCAAATTTTCCTTGGTTAGTGGTAGACATAAGTAGAGTGCGAGAGCCTAAAAACCTTGAAAATCTCTTGCGAAGGCTACAGCCGCGAACCAACGTCCCCAATCTATGGTGTAAGGTAACGTGCCGACGGATGAATTGTCGCAGGGGCAGATGCGGCAGTAAACGCTCCCCTGAGGGAACCTGGCGACACCTTCCTATAACTAGCCTTGCCGGCGCATGCGGTGCTCTGCGTCGGTCGACCTTTCCTTCCCTAGCTACTCGTGGGAACCATATGGATTTAACAACACAAAAACCCGAAGAGGCTGGACGTCAACGATCAGCTCTAGCAAAGGAGACTGGACGACTAAGTCCAACTCCGGTGCAGGAGGTTTGACAGCGACGATCACCTCAAAAAAAGGAGGATGGACGTTAACGCTCACTTCCTGTAAAGTAGCCTGGACAACAAAGTTTACCTCCTGCACAGGAGGCCGGCTAGCGACGCCCACCTCCAAAACAGGAGGATGGACACAGTAGTTCACCTCCAACTAACAGCCTCCGAAGGGGCAAAAGAATCTCTGGGTCTGAAGCAAAAAGGAGGAAGAGGGATAAGCTCCAGGCAGGCAGTGCTACGGCAACCGCCAACCTCAGTAAACTCCCTCACTCCAAAATAAACAAAAGCGGCTTAATCAAGTACTTAGACAGTGCTAGTTCTACCTCCACAAGAGGCCAGGAACACGACGTAACTAGGGACATGAAAAGGCCACGATCTAACACCTCTTCCGAGGTAACGCCCCGGAAGGAGATAAACCCAGACAGGACTACAAAGTTCTGTCTGGGATAAGCTACAAGGATACAGCTACGAGCCACCTAAAAGTAGCTATATTAGACAAGGATAACCCTTATGGTAAGATAACTACAGAAAGAGAAATCCTTGTCAAATAGACATTGATGAGAGAGCTGGACAAAATAATTTTGTCCGCCTCCTGCAGCAAAACCAAGCCACCCACCTTCAGGTCTTGGACGCACTCTGGTGAAATCATCAGAGTAACGTGCGCCGATGATCTGACGTTAGAATGGCTAAAAATCAAGGTACCAACCTTAAAAACATGGAAAGGAGCAACACTCGCTGTTGTAAGCCTCTCTCTGGATCCCAGGGGAAGCGCAAGGGGATCTTGACGAGAAGGACGTTGTGCTCAGGTGACTTAAGGGGCAAAACTCAAACTTACATGTGGCGAAATGGTGCTCCTTCCACCATGAAATAAAAAAAGACCCCAAGGGCCATCTCTTCGTCTTCGGCATCGGAGACGAAGACATGATAACCCTAAAGTCCAAATCAATGAGGATGAGCTATGCGTTCACCTCATTGACTATAAGGCCAAAGGTCGAAAATGAGGCTGAAGTGGGGCCCAGTGAAGACTCCTTGATAAAGAACTCTCTTCCCCCCAATTTAAGCTAACAGTGGAGGACGTTGAGTCAGAAAAAATAGCAATCGATGACCTCCAGCAAGAAAACTCCGACGAGCTACAAGAGATCACCCCCTCCCCACTTTTGCAGGAAGGGATGGTCGAATAAAAAAACCACCTTGCTTCCCCAATTTTTAACGGAAGACCGGGAAGCAATAAAAGAGGTAACTATTATACAATATAACTTGCAGCACAAAAGGGTGGCTACGGCAACATTATGCCGCCGCCTTGATGATCTGCAAGATACAATAGCACTCATCCAGGAACCCTGGAAAATAAAAACCAAAATTTTAGGTCTTAAAAATCTAATTGGTTAAATTTTTAGCTTTCCCAGCAACCAACAACCTAGGACAGCCATTTAAATTCCTAGCAAATACAAAGTCCACTCAATGGCACACCTTTTTACCTCCGATTTAACTGCGATTAGGATGGAATACGCCATCAAAAGGGAAAATAAAACGTTAATCCTGGCATCTGCATACGTTCCTTCCGATGCAACCACGCCACCACGTAGTAAAGAAATGGAGGATCTGATTGCATACTGCCTGAAACAGAAGTTTGAGCTGGTAATAGGTTACGACTCAAATGCTCATCACTTCAGTTGGGGCAGTAAGAATAACAACGCAAGAGGTAAGTCACTTTATGATTATATAATTACCAAAAATCTTTGTATTTTAAATAACGGTTCTACACCAACATTTTTAAACTCTCGCAGTCAAACACTTACAGATATTACTTTATCCACAACTGGTATCTATAAATCAATTCTAAACTGGCAAGTGCCTGATAACATTTTGATGTCAGACCACCGCTGGTTAACATTCAAAATAAACTTGATGTTGCCAACTTCCACGCTATCTAGGAACCCTAGGAAGACAGACAGGGTAATCTATGCCCACCTTCTCCAAGAGGCTCTGAGAGAGATGGAGGTCGAAACACCAAAAAATACCAATGCTTTAGAGAAGTACTCGAACAATATACAAAGCACAATAAACAATGCCTATAAGAAATCCTGACCCCCTAAAGCTGGTCTAACACGATCAGACGACTACCCCATGGTGGTGTCACGAGTTGGATCACCTCAGGAAGATGGCTAGAAAATCCTTTAATAAGGCAAGAACCACAAAACTCAAAGAGGATTGGGATACTTACAAATCTCACCTCAGAGAAATCGTCAGAAAAAAACAGAGAGATGCATGGAGATCCTACTGCGAAGAAATCGAAGATTTCCTGCAGGCAGCGAGGCTTCAAAAGGCTCTCTTAAAAGATCCACACCAAAGCATTGGTGGCACGAAAACTGCCAACCTCGAAGATAGCATCAATCTTTTGCTGTCAACACACTTCCCTGACTCGGTCATCACAGACGTAGCTGACTGGGCAGAAAAAGAATACAATCCATGATTGGCAAACTGCCAAACACATTGTAGACGATGAAAAAATTAGATGGGCAATATCCAGCTTCTCTCCATTTAAATCGCCAGGGCCTGGCGGTATCTATCCAGCCCTACTTTAGTGGGGTCTGAAAGAACTCACACCGCACCTGGTGGGTATATTTAGATCCTCGTTGGCTCTGAGGTATATCCCCAAGAAATGAAGAGAGGTAAAAGTGGTATTTATACTCAAACCTGGAAGGATGGATTACACTGTCTCAAAAACATACCGACCAATTAGTCTGACATCGTTTTCCATGAAGAAATTGGATAGGCTATGCGAAAGGTAATAAGGGATGCAACAACACCACTACTCCCAAACCAACATGCATACACCCCAGGCAGATCTTCCAAATAGAAAGATAAAACGGGCTGTGAGCAATAGTGCCAGTGTAGTTCAAACAGAGCTAACGGAGATTCTCATAGCAGCAAAAGAAATAACCAGAAACAATATCATTGGAAGGAATATGCTCTTCTATACAGGTAGCAGACAAGTATTACTCACCCTGAACAGACCACAAATTTACTCAGGGTTAGTACTAGAATATCAGGAAGCTTTGGCCGAAGTATCCATCAACAACGTGGTCACCTTAAGATGGATCAAAGGTCACACAACATCGAAAGGAAATCGTCTTGCTGCCAAAAAAGCAGCCAACCAAATACTTTTTGGAGCTGGCCCTTCTATTGGCCTGACAAAATCGGTAGTGACAGACCTAATTAAAGAACATTTCCTTGTGAAATGCAAGGAAAGATGGGATGAAGCAAGAAACTGCAGAGTTGCCAAGGAGCTCTTAAGTTATCCTGACAACACTGCAGCAAACCAATACTTTACTATGACTAGACAGAATCTGCCCCTAGTCACAGGCATTCTGACTGGTCATTGCCAAGTACGGAAGCATCTCCATATCATGAGGCTGTCAAAATCCGCACTCTGCAGAGAGTGCAAGCAAGAAGATTAGACCATCGAGCATATACTTTACGATTGCTCGACGCTCTCATTTAATAGAACATTTGTGTTCGGCGAGTATCGGCCGATATAAGAGAAGCACCTCTTGGCGACGTTGTCAACTACATTTAATCTGTAGGCAGGCTCATGAGCTAGGATGTGCCTATCATCTTAGGAGGATGCACAATGGATCCAATGAGGCCTAAGTGCTGTGGGGGGGGGGGGTAACCCACCCTCCAAACGTTACAGATATAGATAGTGTTAACGAAGAGCGAAAGGAGAAGATAATAGCTTTGGCAAGTAAGCAAGCCTAAAAAGTTCTCCCAAGTTATCATAATTTTTTCATGGTTGGCATGTTTATGAGTTGTGCAAAGCATTTTCAGCAAATCTACACTAATCATGTAGATATAGGAAGTACGCATGATTCAACAAATATTAATTCAGTTTGTTATGCTCTCTTGCTAAACAGACGTCGGCAAACATATGAGACACTTTTCACAACTTTGAAGACAATGGTGCCTGGATGGAACCCCAAAACAATAACATGTGATTTTAAGGAAGTAGGCTAAATTATAAGTGTATTTCCGGAAATTGGAATTCACGGCTGTAATTTCCATTTTATTTAATGCCTTTGCAGGAAAGTATAGGAAATTGTACTAGTTCGCGAATACAATGAAAATGAGGAAATTCGGTTTTATATTAGGATGTGTTTGGTATTGGCATATGTAGCACCAAATTTGTTACAATATTGTCACTAGTTATTATTGACTAACCTACAATTTTAATCTAAAAATCTTATAAACTAATTACTTATCTTAGAAGTCCCCATTAATTGTTAATAGGAAAGTATCACAATTTGGCGTGACGGTTTATTATAATGTTTTACACTGTTTTATACTGTTTTACACTAACACTTACATTAACGTTCACTACTCTAGCTCAAACGGCTTCTTCTTTTTCAGCCTTCTGTTGAGTGTAGAGTTGTCCAGTAATTCAGCGCTTCTTCGTTGACGTGGGAGTGGTGTCGATCCTCATGTTTCGCAGCAAACCTCTATTTCTTCTTCGATTGTTGGCATCTTCAGGTTTCTATGAAGATAATCGTTTCGACAGAACCAAGGTGCATCAAAGATGCATCTAAGGACTTTATTTTGGAAAACTTGTATCATGTTGATATTACTCTTGTTGGCACATCCAAATAGTTGTATGCCATAAATCTAAATTGGTTTTAGGATTTGTTTATAAATCAGCTGTTTGTTGTATACCCACTGAAAATTTGGATTTTTTCCAAGGAGCCAATACATTTTTTTAAATTTAAATTCGAGTTCTTTACGCTTTTTTAGGTGCTCTTTTCATTTAAGTCGTACATCTAGGTTCATCTCTAGGTATTTGGCCGAATTGTAACTGTGGAATAATATCATTGTTTATTCTTATTAGTTTTTGTTCATTTGGTCGAAGAGTAAAATCAACATGCACTGATTTAATTTGATTTATTTTTATTTTCCATTTTTTCTCTGCCAATATTGCAGTGTCATCCGCAAATGTTGCTATTTTAATACAGTTGTTGAGTATCGCTGGTGTATAATAAGAATAAGTGCTTTAATTTCTTTCATTTCGGAGTATGCCTCTTTTTGCTTTACTTCAAACATTCTTTCCGTTAAATACGATCGAAGAATGTCGACATATTGTCTAAGGAGTATTTTTTTAAGTTTCTGTATTAGGCCAGCGTGCCAAACCTTGTCAAATGCTTGGGCTACGTTAAGAAATATAGCTAAGCATATACATTTTTTTTCATAAGCTTTTTCAATGATATCGGCTATACTGTGTACTTGATCTATTGTCGAGCATTAGTTTCTAAAACAAAATTGATGCGAAGGGATCAGGTTTTTATTTTAAATTGTTGGTTTTAGTCGTTTTAGTAGTAGCTTTTCAAATAACTTAGATATTATTGGTAACAATGTCTATAAAATGACACTTCATTCGGAGGTTTTCCTGGCTTAGGAATTTTTTGTAGGTAGTCAGCGAAAATATCAGCTTTCTGTTGATTGTCTCTTGTCCATTTGTTATCTGCTATTCTGATAGGAGGACAGTGTTTACACGAATTTTTTATCTCTTTAGTTGCCTTCTAGAGCGAATAATCAGTTTCTTTATCATATATTAGCCCTACTAGGTATCTGTTGAAGGATTCTTTTTTGTGATTTGGGATTTCTCTTCTCAGTCTTTGGGTAGTCCTATTTAATATATGTTTATCTTCTGGTGATCTTGTCATCTGCCATTTTTTCTTAGTTTTCTTTTTTCTGCTTCCAGTTCTCTTATCTCAACTAAATGATATTGATAAAGGTTGGTTAACTATTCAATCAGAATCATCATGTAACGAAAAACTTGAATTTTATGATTATTTTGTTAACCAATGCAATGGTTGAACAATCTAATAATCACACAAAAAATGGGAAACGTATTTAAAAAAGACACAGGACTAATAATAGAGTATAAAGTTTGAATAGCCGATTGAACGCGTTATTGTAGAAGCTTCATCCCAATTTATGTAATTTAATACGTTTAAAAAGTGAGTTTCAATTCTATGATTTTCTCATACAAAAACAAGATATAAATTTAGTGACGCCTAAACGAAAAAGGCTATAGCGAAAACTCGATGTCCGGATTGAAAAAACTATTATTGGGTATAAGATGAACCGAGATATCAAATCTATTTTAAAAATATTGAATTATTCACAGAAACTCCAATAACTAAGAATAAATTATGTATATTTGTGATTTTGAAAATAAAATTAACTTTTTAATATTTGTTCTGTTTTGCTTTGTTTTATTTAATTAATTTACAAATAAAGCATCGTATGATAAGTAAGTATTAAAAGAAGACATAAGACAATATCTTTTTTAATTGTTCAAATATGCTATAACTGGTATACAGTGGGCCTTAAAAATTTTTATAATTGATTTGTCACAAAAAATTATTTCTAACAAAAGTGGGTGCTTCACTTAAAACATGATATTGATTAGAAATATTTGCTTTGATTAGTTCGTTTTTCTCATGTATTTAAAATCAAAAAAGTCCAATAATCCAAGCAATACAATTTAATAAACTAGTATAATTTATACACTAAAACAGAAACGTCAAATTGATAAATCATGGCCTATTCAGAAAATGAACCATAAATTATATTAAAAAAAATGCGTTATTTAATGAGATTAATTTTTTTAAGGGCTTAGATTTAAAAAATAATATTGTTTTAATGAATTTAAATAAATTAGTAAGTTTTTTGCAACCGTGTATACTTAAAAAATCTATTATTTTAACTAAATGCCATTACATAGAATAACCGGTGGAAACTAATTTCACATGTAACAGTTCACTAAGAAATTTGCAACAAACAAAAAAAAAATTAGAAAAAGTAGAAAAAAGTAAAAACAATAGAAAAAACATGGAAAAAAATTTAAAAATTGTTGTTTTTAAATAGGAGGCTGTTATTTTATATTTATATTTTTTATACTAATTTTTTTCAAATAACATTTTAAAATGATGAAAATTTAATGGTTTTGGTTTTGGTAATTCAAATTTTATCATGAATCGTTTTTCCATATTGCACCCACTTTTTGGAACACACTGTATCGCTGGTATAAGCCAAATATTATTAAAAGGTGGTCTTAGAAAAACAAACAGATGGCAATTCTATCCATATTTTTTACTGCTTTAGTCATTTGAATTCTGAAAATTCTAAAAACGTAGTTTATACTATACCAAAACATAGTAACAGCTGACTGCAGAACAAATAGACCAAAAAATCATTTACATAAATATATTCTTTTTTTATTTTCAAAAACCTTTAATTTTATTCAAACAGTATACAATAAAACTCTTCTACATAATAGAATTCCTTTGTAATGCTAGAACAGGTAAATTAACACTCTAGCTGATTTAGATATTTATGTAATTCATAGAATAATACGCAGAACGCAAGTGCCACAAAGATTCACATGTCTGCTCGAAACTGTACCATGCTTGTGGTAAAAAATCTTAGAACAAAAAATTCTTTACCGCAAATGTCAAGACAGCAATTACCACTGACCATACCAATAACTTAACCGTTTATTTAACTGTATTATTTTTGAGTAACAACCGCACGCTCATGGTTTGCACCAAATAGTAAATTGTCTCTAAAACATTTATATTTTTTATGGTATAATTTGAAACGATTTAAAATCTTACTTGTGGTAATCCAGATATGAAATCGTGGATATTAGCATTTTTAGCTGCCTGTATAATTTCATCCATTGGTACATCTCTAGAATTATCACCATAAGCAATATTTTCGGATATAGTGTAATTAAATAAATTTGGTTCTTGCGAGACAATACTTAAATGGGATCTTAAAACTTGTGGCGATATGTTTTTAATATTATAATCATCCAAATAAATATTTCCAGAAGATGGATCATAAAATTTTTCAATCAGCTGTAATATAGTGGATTTTCCACAACCGCTTTCTCCTACAAGTGCTATTGTTTTTCCATTGGAAATTTTTAAGGTCAGGCCATTTAACACCGGCACATCTGGTCTTGTTGGATACGAAAATTGTATATTGGAATAGTTTATGGACCCCGTTACCTAAAATAATAATTACTATTAGGGCCTATTTCATAATCGTACCTAAAAGCGGATTTAATCAAAAAAAGCTTTTATTTAAAGTTCACTTTAAAGTCTCCTTTACAAAAGTATTATCATGAAGGTACCATTTGGGAACTCGCGCCAAAGACGACGACAGCAAGCGGTAAATCCTACCGTACTAAAGGTATTGTCGTCTTTCGTGTCATCCTAAATGTGTGTTTCATATAACTACATGTCTTGAAACGTGAAGAGACCGTTTTCGGTCTCCTTCTCTTCTCTTTGCGTTTGAAGTCGGTCTCTGTCTCGCCTTCCGAAATGGTAGCTTAATAGTTTTCCAGACGTAATTTTTTTTAACAAAATTTAACCGAATTGGTATTGCTGATCTGTGTCTAATTATAATATAAATATATAAAATATAAAAATATTTACTGGAATATTATACTGCCGTGCTATGCACAAAGGTGGTAACTGACTTTTTAAGAAAAATTAGTTTTTGTTTATAATACATTAAATTATCAATTTTTAACATTATTATTAAGTTATTAAGCATAAAAAGTCAATATTTTTATTTAAAATAGATTTATAAAAATAGTCGTAACTTTCTTTTCTGCCTTAAATACTACGTTAAAGTGCCGTATCTGCAAAAACTAAGCCTTTTTTTATTGTTTTTGAAAACAAATACGTCCATAACCCTCAGTATTTTTCAGATACGTCAAAAATGCTTCAGTAAATTTGTTAAAAATTTCGGTAAAATTAAAGTAGAAAAAAAAAAGATTGGCGTTATTTTATAAAAATTTGCTTAATAACCCACATTACAAAATAGTTAATTTTCTTAATGTGACATTATTCAAAGACGGGATTTTAGAACCAAATAAGAAAAAGACTGCTAACGGAATTTTCAAAGATAAAAAGAAGCCTTCAAATGATAGAGAGTTATTGCAAGTTCACTCGAGGTCAGTCACTATTAGTGCCGCTCTTATTTTGACATCTGAGCATGTGCAGATCACTAACTTTAATAAAGATTGTGCCTGTCCTTAATAAGACAGTTATTGCAAGTTCAATTAAGGTCAGTCACTATTAGTGCCGCTCTTATTTTGACATCTAAGCATGCGCAGATGTGTATGTTCTAAAACTGTCTTTATTAAGGATTGTGCCTGTCCTTAATTGTGGATGTTTAAGGGCAGCAGGTAGTGGCGACTTTATAGTTTCCGGATGCGCTCGCCGACATTCGTATCCGTTAGAAGTTTTTTAATATTAAATATTTAATATAATCGACATTTAAACCTACTAAAATTATAATTTCTAATGTCTCTTTAATATTATTTGCAATATCTCTCTATTAAGAACAGGCACAATCTTTATTAAAGTTAGTGATCTGCGCATGCGCAGATGTCAAAATAAGAGCGGCACTAATAGTGACTGACCTTAAGTGAACTTGCAATAACTCTCTGATATCATACCAAAAACTAGGTTAAAATTTTAGGAAAATTTAGCGAAAAATGATTGTGAAGATGATAACGATGAAGTAGAAGATTAAAGTACTGAGAACTGATATTAGTAACAGATTTAATGTTATGCAATTCAATTCTCATCTGTAGCTTTTATTTTTTGCTTTCTTTTTTATAATCTATTTTATTGTCATTACTTAAAATTGGTTAATAACACAATTAATTATTATAAGTAGTACTTCGTTAATAAAGATTTCAATTTATAAAACAAAAATAAAATAAATGTAAATGATCATTAATTACATACGGCAATATGCTGTAGTAATAAACAATTGAAAAAATAGAATAATAAGTGGTAAGTTGAAAAGATTATAATTTTTATATCAAATCTTTAATTATCTTGAATAAAAATTTAAAAAATCACATAATTGAAGTATTATCTTTCAAAATGACTATAAATAGTCATACCTGGAACTTTATAATGTTTACAAAGTTGACATATCGAAATATCTAATTTTTTCGAATTCAAGTTTATTACAGTTACCATCTTTGTGCTTAGCACGGCAGTATATTAGTCACAAAAATGTTGGGGTTTTTGGGTTAATGAATATTTTGTTTTATTTTAAAGTATAAATATTTATCTTGTATTATAATGTAGATTGTTAATGATACTCTATATTAAAAGTAAAATATTTCAGTACCTTCGGGTTTTCCAAAGTAGGTAAATACGGAATGATTTGAAACTAAAATTATTGTATAGGAATAAGGTAATTTCACAGGAATAAATAATAACCAGAAGGATATCTCCGATAACGTGATCTTCGAGGGCTGGAGACCTTCAAGAATACCTACACCGATATTCTACACCGAAACTTTCAGTGCAGTAGCGACCGGCACGGGCAGTGGTATCGAATTCGTGAATTTATAATTATTATTATTCTGTTGTTTCTGTAATTTTGCTTAAATATTTTTATCGTTGACTATTTTCTGATTTTGTTGTGCTTTAATGACAGTGTGAGTTATGGAAGAAGACAAAAAAAGCTGGATTTGTTTGTAGTTATAAAGACTGCAAAAATAAATCTTATATCAGGGCACATTCATTTTACAGATTTCCTCAAGATGTTGAAAGGTAATATAAATAAAGTACAATATTGAAGTCAAATACAAGGTGTTTTAAATTAGCTGTTACTTCAGGATATTTTCTGTATCTTTAATCTGAGGGATGGTGGGTTGCCCCACAGTACTTAGGGTATATCTTAATAATAGTATATTATCCAACGATCATGTATTTATAGCCATTAAATAAGAGTTGCATACCCTATTTTTTCTATGACCAAGAACCAGTTCTTCAATCGAAAATAGATTCATTTAAAAAGTTATAATGCTTTTAATCCCTCAAATCCTTAGATAAACTAATTTGTTATGACTACTTGTTAAGACAACTAAATATTAAATCTTTTTTATTTCCCAAAAGTGTTTCGGATTTTTTCCGCTATAGCCTTTGGACTTTCTCTTTTTATATTATTTTGGGTATTCTCTCACATATCAGTTTTATGTTTAATATTCAGTTGTGTTTTTAAAATGGAGTAACGAGTATTTCAATTTGGTTGAGAGTTGTTCAAAGCAACACATTTTTAGAAAATGATGATACTTCTTTGTTAGCTTCCAGTCTAAATGTTGACTATACATTTTATACCTTCAATTTCGAGTAGTGTACATGGAACATTATCGTTGCTGGACATCTTTTTTCAAATTTAAAATACCTAGATATTTCAAAATCGAAGATCTAAACTGACACAGAACATAAATCTTCCAGAAACTGTCAAAAACTATTTGGAGAACATAACTGGATGTTTACATGAATATTACAAAATATAGGTTTCAGTTTCATAATGAAAAGCCAGTGCTATAATGAATATCATTATGGAACTGAACATTAACATTTATTTACAAATGATAGTACATGAGTAGAAAATAATGTTTACATGCTGGTTAGCAAGAACAACGACGCAATTAAAAGTAGTCGATTTAACAGTATTTATTTATTTATAAATGGTTTGGGCGCGAGTAATATACAAAAATACCTTTTTTTAAGAAACAAAATGTTTCTTTTTTGACCTACAAAACTAAATTATCTCTAATATTTTCTTGTTATGAAATATTTTAGGTAATTTTCAGAATTTAAAACCAATGCCAGGTAGTAATGACCTATCAAAACTGAATTATCACTAATAATTGCTTGTTATGATACGCTTTAGGTAATTTTTGGCATTTCTATATTTTATCTCCAATATCTTTCTGGAATTACTCTAATTATACCCTTATTATTCATACATACCTTAATGTTTATTTTATTAAATCAATAAAAATAATAATCTATTTTTTTATTAAACTTTATTGTAGTTAAACTCTTAAGATCAAAATTTTTAATGAATATACCAATTAGAAAATATTGAAAAATTATAATTATCGCGCCCAAATGTCCGGTTTCGATTTCAAAGTGTAGTTAATTTTAGTTAATTTAATGTCTAACTTTACTTATTAAATTCACATTTAAATTTAAAAATATATGTTTTTAGTGCATATTTTGACTGTTTTTTGTGCATATTTGCATCCATATTTTGTTTTTTAAGTGCTTGTCTCCCGAGCTTTATTAGATATACCAAAATTTATACTCTATCCCAGACATTGGAAGTCTGAAGCTATCAGGTTAAATACAATGAAAAATAAGTGTACATCTTTTTTCATTGCGAAATCTTGGCTCTTAGCGTGTTATAGACCATATTTATTATACAAAGTAGACATTCTTCACAAGAGCTATAAAATTTGTGATGTTCATTTTTCTCCACAGATGTTCCAAAAAGGAAAGAGACAAATACTGCGAGAAGATGCTGTTCTACTCAAATTCGTTTCAAGTGGCATCATTGAGGTGCCATGTACGAGTATTTTATATCAGCTTTTGGAACCATCAGCTTCAACCATTGACAACTCTTCCGATAAGGCAGAATCAATTCAGCGGTCTCCAATACATTTTACTTCACGGAGTGTCCAAACATCAGAGAAACTAACTTTTCGAAGCCCAAGAAAGGAAAAACTAAGGGAGATCACAATGCCTGAAATTTGAGAACAAAGCGTTGAAAAGAGATAACCAGGTCCTTCTTAACAAATGTAACAATCTTGAGAAGAAGCTTCAAGAAAAATTGAAAGATACGATCACTCTCGAACAAAACTTGTACGTATTCACTGTGCCCATCCAAAGAACTCGCAGAATTTATTAATGCTCAGATTACCCAAAGCATGAAATCAGCTAAAGGTCGAAGGTATTCGGACGAATTTAAATTTAAGTGTTTATCACTATATTTCTCTGGCCCAAAGGTTTATAAAATACTTCTAACTAAATTATTTTGCCAGCTTGGGCCGCAATCCCTTAGAATCTTATTACGTGGATTATTATCCCATTATCCCAGGTTTGGAAGTCTCTAATGTGTTCAAAACACTTAAAATGAAAGCTGAAAATTTTAATGAAATGGACAAATATTGTGTACTCTGTGT